ATACCTTACACTACTGCATCCTCAAGGCACACAGAAAGCACTATGTACAATGTTGACAGCAGCACAATTGCACGCAGTGATGTGCATGTTGGAAGGTCACTGTTGCGAGATCACTCCACTGCAATGTTATGAAGTTACATTTCTGCCACACGGTATAAATTACTATGCTTTTATTTGATGCTTCATAATGCCGTTGGATTTCTGCTGTTTATATTCTAGCTTGGTAGTTGGTTTTTGATGCCCCTCCACTCTGCAATGCCTCTGGGGCCCGGGTGACTACGGAATGAAAATAATGTGCATTCATTTGGTAGGTGCCGGCCCGAACCCCCATGAACTGACGCCCCTAATTCAGGCAGTTCTCGATGTGATCGGCGTCGACTCGCCGAACCTGTGTGGGTCGATGTCATTGAGGGTGACAGGGAAGAGTGAGTGGATTACTCTTACATCAGTCTGTATGACAAGTCAACAGCACTGAGTGCCGGGCATGCAGAACAGCTCTGTTATTAATGGTGGACCCTAAGAAACTGATGTGAGAACAGGGAGATTGTAAAAATTGTCATAGTGCCATAGACACAATATCTAATTGGAAATCAGCGCACTTTCATGTATCACTACTGCGTGATGCAGGTTAGGATAGGGAGCCCAGGCTAGCGGACATACTGCACTGCCTTTGGGTCACTTATGGCAAGCATGTAATCGTGAATTTCTCTTCATTTTACTCATACGGCTGCATAATTGCTCTACAAGCAACCTGCAAAAAACACACACAGAAGGATATGTAGCAAAATGTGTTCATTACTAACATAACTAACACCCAGACAACGGAACTACCGATGTACCAAAGGCAGATATCCGAGCAGAGTTGTAGTACACTTTTTGATGGTTGAAGGAATGCAAGGTGGTGATATTTAGTTCTAACCTCTTAACCAACAGGTGCAACAAATAAGACGATATTCTTCCTTTGAAAAAGAAAGGTATAACCCTGTTGTTACGCATGATATTTGATTAGTTGTTGAATGAGTGAACAAACTCATCGTTTATGCTGTGACGAACTAGTGCGGAACGCAAAAAGGAAAGAGGTAGCGTTGCTGGTATCAGTTATCGGTTTAACAGCAGGATAGAAAGCCATAGCAAGATTGACTCTATACATAGCCAAGCGAAAACTCTTTTGTAGCATCGTGGATTTCGTAAACAACGAGACTTGAATGTTTGGTTTTACAACATCCTTAGGTGAAATAAATGGCAAGGTTAAGAAATTTATAAGAAAGCTAAAGGTAATGAAATACTGAAAGTTGCAACCGGTACAAGGAATATTACCGTAATATCCCGAGAGACGACCCATCCCCAACAGATAGCCCATCCTGATTTGTAGCAGGACTTTCTATTTTTCAATGGCTCAAGTTGAGCTACCTTGTGAACACCGAATGTTAGCCTACCCCTTATCTTTTACCTAATGTGCTCTCAGTTTTGGGCGGGCAATTTCTCGGGATATTACGGTGAGCATGGATTTTTGCATGAGCACCATGTGTGTGGTCCACTCGAAGATGCTTGAAGCATCAGAGAGTTTCTGTTCTACAGTTAAGTACACTGTGGCAAAAGTCCAGCAACATGTCGGGGTTACAAACACTGTATGTTATACGTATGTTGCCTGCACACTCCTAATAACTACAGCAAATCACTTCCTGCATATCCATTTGTCACAGCGATAGCTTGAGACAAACGGCAGCGCCGCAGCCTCGGGCGTCAGGAAGCGGCCAAAGGGTGGCAGCAGCAGAAGAGTGGGCAGCAGCTAGCAGCTCCCCGTGTCTTGCAGACGAGACGTTGGTGCCGGGAAGTTGCGCAGAGGTATCAGCAGCAAGCTGAGGACCAGCAGCAGATGGAGGCGGAGAACCTCCTGTTGGATAGGGAGGCAACAAAAAGAGCCATAGATGCCTCCAATGCACAAATCGCTGCAGCAGATGCTGCTAAACAGTATTACACTGAAATGCTAAGGCTACAAACCTTGCAGGCTGAACTTCAAATTGAGCTTTTGAAAAAACAATTGGGAAAGGAGTAATCAGAACAGACCAAGGGGGGGGGGCATTAAGTTCTAAGATTTTTTTTTTAGACTGACGACGCAAGGGCGGATGTGAAATAATAAAAGTACATTTTGAAATGCAAGGATTTGTGAAAACCTCAGTATGTTATGGGGTAGTCGTCACTGGAGAAAAAAACTCGACCCTATGCGACAACCAGTAAGATGGTGCAAGCAATTTTAACGAATAATGAAATATTTTTATTGCCTCCCCAGTATTCCAGAGTACCACATTGGTATCCGACACCAGCGACAATCTAACCAGCGGAGTTTCCATACATGTGCGCAAGCCTGTCGACACGTCAAAAACATCATTGTTGGGCACTAAGGAAAGAACTTTAACAATTCGACCCTGCTCAAAACAAAACAGCAAGTAAGCAAATAACCTAGGAAGTGCCTGCACGGCGCGAACAGTGTTAATGCGTTTAAATGCATGGTTACTGGTGTGTCCACTCGGTGTGCCTGATTTCTTCGAGGAGAGTGTGTCGCGGAATTTACACCGTTCAGGAACTCGGTACTCTTTTTGTTCACTTTCCGAAAAAAACAGGCATTACCATACTTCAACGTTGTTAGACAGCGATTTTATACACCCTTTACTCTTTTACTAAGGGAAATAACCAATGACAGAATTATTCCTCTTATGTACATGACCCATTAGTGGCGGTTATAATCGGACCACTACTGTGACGCATACAGGTTGAGTCCTCTCACCTGTAGAATACTTTTAAATATGGTAATAATACCAACTTATAGGACAGAGGCGCAATAAAATGAAATGGTATTATTTTTAAGGCTATTATTTCGCTCACCCCTATAATTACTCGCACTGAAGGCATTGATGTTCGCGTAGCCTGTAGTACGAAGACAAGCACGATGACCAACATGCAGAAGTGGACCGAAGCTTTTCGCACAAAAGCCGCACGCACTGTTGACCGAGGCACACAACAGCAATATATTGCAGGACTTTTGCGTATGTGGTTCCATGGGTCATGCAGCAATTTCACTGTTAAACGCAGTTGCAATTATGCTGCTTGACCAACTCTAACCTTTTATAACGAGGTACGCTGCAAGACATGTCAATCAATCTTTGGGCATTTGTTACTACATACCGAAACTGGATGAGGCGAGAATGATTCTGATCCGTGCCTGCAATGCTGTTCAGAAGAGTTACCTTGTTTGGACACCGCGACATTACATCTTAAGTGCATGCCATTGTTGCAACCAACAAACAACATGCTGCAATGAAGAGGGTTTGCGAGACAATATGGTTTGCAATGTTTGAGGCACTCTTTCTGCTAAAATGTTCGGATTCAGGAAAGGGTGCAGACGTCTTCAATATGAGGGTGGACGCCTGAGCGGCATACGACGGGCGCTGCATCGTCTCCAAGCGACACTTTTGCAAATAAAGGTGGATAGCAGTCGCAGCACAACATCTGCTTGCTCTAATATCTGCCAATGCTTCCATTCTTTTGCAACGAGTGAATTCCGCAAAGCCTGTTTACCCTCGTATTGAAACCATACATGAAGAGTGCTTAATAAAGATTAAAATATCTATGTTCTCGAAGGAATATGCTGGGGTTGGTTCAGCCCCTTATATCAGCTGCTGGTAAAACCACAGCCAAAAGATGCCACGAAGCATTCAAGAAAATTTATTATATGAAATCGCGTGCCAAATTCAACTTGTTATTTAGGTTATCCATTTACGGAGCCTGGCAAACACACTGAGAGGACAATGTCTCTGTATGTTTCTCGCATTCAAGAAAACCAGTTTGAATTGAAAAGACCACATACCCACATACTTACGCTCAACAGAAGAACTGGTCGACAAGGGCACGCCGGGCCTCGTTGCTTTCTCCACGGCCGGCTGCCATGGGCTCCACAGGAACCTCAGGCGGGATGGCAGTCCCTGGTATCGCGCAGGGGTATCTCTTGGCGAGATTGTGGAGCACGCAGCATGCCACAATGATGTCGCAGCATCTGCTTGGCTCCATGCGCAGCTTGGCGTGCAGGCAGTGGAACCTGCGCTTCAGCTGGCCTATTGTCCTGCGTGCATCATATGGACAGAATGAGTATTATTTACTTAAATTACACTAATATATTAAGGCTGAGACTATTTCATACTTTCTGAATGCTGTAGCCTACCGAAAACCGGACAATCATTTCTTATCATTGCCAAGATATATAACAGTATGTTTACATGTAGACCATATTAAACTTCCCTCGACAAATGTTCCTCATAGCTGAGTGTAAGCGAAACACAGTTTTATACAAACAGTCGTTAACATTAGCAGTCTGAAGATGTCTGTCAACGACTTCCCTATAGCAACTCGAGCCCGGTGCAATTTGTCACATTTTTACGGCGAGTCCCAGCAGTGTGGAGTATTTTAGAATGTATGGCAAGTAGGCGTGTAATTTCTGTAAAGGTGGGGCCGGAAAAAAACAGCTTTGCATTTGTATCTTTTTGCTCTTCTGTATCCAGGTTGAACCAAAATATTGCCTTTCACACGTATGTAACAAATCCTGCCCCTAACGAACGAACAATGTGATATCTTCTCCAAAAAAATATGTTGGAGAATATTTCACGTTTTTGTTTTTTTGATACGATGCGTGCGTTCTGCATGTCTGCTTTTTATGCAACATTGCATATATGTGTCTACGTTGCACCCTTATGCAGGCCCTCGGGCTCTATAGGGGCACTGGAAAGTACAATAAATAAATATATATTCTTGGGATAGTATTTTCTTTCTTCTCCCTTTAGGTTCCGTGCAATTACTGTTTTCTGCTGGGTCTAGAGAACACAAAACTGCATGTAGGGGCGTTACAATTAACAGTGTCTTCTGTGCTATGACAACAAAATGTTACGTTGTCTAGTGGCATTCTTTTCAATATAGCAGCCCAGTAACCCACCACGATGCGTGACTTTGTTTTACCTTTCAACAATACTCTTTGTCGTGGTGTGTGCCGTGTTGTACCTCACTTCTGCTGCTGATGATGGCGACAGGAATGGCGCCGTCAGCCACGGCTGGCAGGTGTAGCCGCTGTCGCCGAGCAATAGGCCATCGTAGATGCCATCGGCCAGCTTGACTGATAGTGTGCTCTCGGTGAAAATCCGGGAGTCGTGCGTGCTTCCCGGCCATCTCGCAACCACATTGCGTATGCGGCAGGACGCGACAACTACCACCTGTACGTTGATGGAATGGTACAGGTGGCGGTTCACGTACACCTCCTGGTGCACGCGCGGTCCCTGGATTCGAATGTGGGTGCCATCAACAGCACCCACGGCACAAGGGAACCCGGCTACGTCAAAGAACTGCTCCTGCAAGGCAGCACTCTCTGCGACGTCAGGCCACCTGCATTGCCAATACATTCACAAGTTAATTTACAGCACAATACCCTAGCATGCACATTTATGCAAAGTTTAGCCGACAACATTCGTTTTTTTTCCTGCTTCAGTGTTCATCGTAAAAAAGAAATGTCGTAAATATTCCCAAATGCCTCGACAAAACAAAATGTTCAAGAAAAAAAAGTGGGCCCACACCGCGGATCGAACCCCTGTCCACTTATGTATGTAGCAGACACCTTACCACCCCTATGCACGGTGTATGCCCTATGCTATGCCATCTTTGTTTTTTTTAACCCTATGCTATGCCACCCCTTATAAAACACGTAGTAACCATTCGTGTAATAGGCTCCCTGCACTGACGTCACATCGCATACTTTTGCACACCAAGTAAAAGGAGGAGAGGGAAACTGCCTTTGTAAGAATGTTGAGTGACAGGTTAATCTTCTCTAATCATCTGGCAGGAGAATAGCAACGCCTGTGCAAACCCGGGAGGCACAAAGGAGGACCCTGATAAGAGGGTAGCTCCTTCTTTCTCTCTTCTCTGGAGGGCAGTTTCGCGTATTGCGTATAGCCCTTTCCGGCCGAGGTGCACGACGGAGTGCGTATAGCTTTACTCATAAACAAACTCAACACAATCTGACTTTTTTTTTGACTCGGAACGCTCAGGAACTCTTTACCGTATGAAGTCTTACCGTATGAAGTCCCTTGTTCGACGTGCCAGAGCTACGGTGACCTGCCTCACGGACCGTGAAGCACTAGAGACTTGCACGTGGACGTAGTCGCCTGCAGTGATGAGGAAGTTGCCTGTGGCGTAGAATTGCAGAGCGACGATCACCTGCTGCTCTGCGGACAAGGCGGAGCTGCGACGCGTCGACCGCTCCAAGTCCGGGCGCAGCGTCTCCGCGAGAAACATAATTCCCGCGCGACCAAACCGGAATCGTTGCTGCAGCGCATCCTCGTCGAATTCTTCCAGCGGATCGAGGCGGTCCCGGAACACACGTTGTCGTCCCAGCATGACGACAGCGTACTGCGCGTACGCGCGGCCTCGTCGACGTCGACGCCTCGTCCCGCTCGACATCGTTTCCGTTATCAAAGTACAAATAGGTCCGCAAATCAGTTGTTAGTAAGTCCGCAGTCGGTCGGTGGGCTAATCGGTGGATCGGTTGGGTAAACGGAAGAGAGGGCAAACAGTTGAGATCAGCAGGAATCGTAGAAACGTGCGTCGCAGGGAACAAAAACGAGTCTACAGCAGCGGCTTTGCCGGACTGGAAGGGACTCGGGAAAGTTATGCGTTGTTTATGGCGAAACATATTGAAGGAAATGTTTCTTAAGTCTTCAAATATTCGTCGACAAACTCTAGCATGGTAGCTAAAATTTCTTCGTAGCATCTGAAGCAAATAAATTGTTCTTCAAGTACAACATTACTATATTTTGACTTAAAATATCATACTAGAGCGATAACAACCAGCGGAAAATGAGAATAAACAAAATGACTGGCTTGTTTCACCGATAGATGACGCATCTTACTGCCCCATCAAAAATAATTATTGTGGTTTTATATCCAGCCGTTTATTATAGTACCTAGGTACTTTTTCCTTCCTAGGTACCGTGGTTTACTAAAATGGGTTTACCATCGCTTCGAGAAAACCGGCCCTGATGTTTCGCAGTAGATCAGCAGCGGCAGTATCTTTAAGACGATCCATGCAGTTTTGAGCGACATGACTAAAGCTGCCGCCCCCACTGGAGACTGCTGGTCTTGTGTCGGGCTTTATAGGGTTCCCTGGTGACATCATCGTCGTCTTCTGATGATAATTCCAGTCGATGTCACTGGCGAATCGGGAATGAAACCACGGTGATTCAGTGCTTGGTGGACGATCCACGTAGACGGTTCTAGATGTTTCGCAGTTGATCAGCAGCGGCAGTGTCTGTAAGACGATCGATGCATTTTTAAGTGACATGACTCTGGGAAAGCTGCCGCCCCCACTGGAGACTGCTGGTGTTGTGTCGGGCTTTAAAGGGTTCCCTGGTGACGTCATCGTCGTCTTCTGATGATGATTCCAGTCGATGTCACTGGTGAATCGGGAATGAAGCCACGGTGATTCAGCGCTTGGTGGACGATTGACGTAGACGGTTCCAGATGTTTCGCAGTTGATCAGCAGCGGCAGTATCTGTAAGACGAACCATGCAGTTTCGAGTGACATGACTCTGGAAAAGCTGCCGCTCCCACTGGAGACTGCTGGTCTTGTGTCGGGCTTTATAGGGTTCCCTGGTGACGTCATCGTCGTCTTCTGATGATGATTCCAGTCGATGTCACTGGCGAATCGGGAATGAAGCCACGGTGATTCAGCGCTTGGTGGATGATCGACGTAGACGGTTCCAGATGTTTCGCAGTTGATCAGCAGCGACAGTATCTGTAAGACGATCCATGCAGTTTTGAATGAGATGACTCTTGGAAAGCGCCGCCCCCACTGGAGACTGCTGGTCTTGTGTCGGGCTTTATAGGGTTCCCTGGTGACGTCATCGTCGTCTTCTGATGATGATTCCAGTCGATGTCGCTGTCGAATCGGGAATGAAGCCACGGTGATTCAGCGCTTGGTGGACGATCGACGTAGACGGTTCCAGATGTTTCGCAGTTGATCAGCAGCGGCAGTATCTGTAAGACGATTCATGCAGTTTTGAGTGACATGACTCAGGGAAAGCTGCCGCCCCCACTGGAGACTGCTGATCTTGTGTCGGGCTTTATAGGGTTCCCTGGTGACGTCATCGTCGTCTTCTGATGATGATTCCTTTCGATGTCACTGGCGAATCGGGAATGAAGCCACGGTGATTCAGCGGTTGGTGGACGATCGACGTAGACGGTTCCAGATGTTTCGCTGTTGATCAGCAGTGGCAGTATCTGTAAGACGATCCATGCAGTTTTGAGTGACATGACTCTGGGAAAGCTTCCGCCCCCACTGGAGACTGCTGGTCTGGTGTCGGTCTTTATAGGGTTCCCTGTTGACGTCATCATCGTCTTCTGATGATGATTCCAGTCGATGTCACTGGCAAATTGGGAATGAAGCCACGGTGATTCAGCGCTTGGTGGACGATCGACGAAGACGGTTCAAGATGTTTCGCAGTTGATCAGCAGCGGCAGTACCTGTAAGACGATCCATGCAGTTTTGAGTGACATGACTCTGGGAAAGCTGCCGCCCCCACTGGAGCCTGCTGGTCTTGTGACGGGTTTTATAGGGTTCCCTGGTGACGTCATCGTTGTCTTCTGATGATGATTCTAGTCGATGTCACTGGCGAATTGGGAATGAAGCCACGGTGATTCAGCGCTTGGTGGACGATCGACGTAGACGGTTCCAGATGTTTCGCAGTCGATCAGCAGCGGCAGTATCTGTATAACGATCCATGCGGTTTTGAGTGACGTGACTCTGGGAAAGCTGCCGCCCCCACTGGAGACTGCTGGTCTTGTGTCGGCTTTATAGGGTTCCCTGGTGACGTCATCGTCGTCTTCTGATGATTATTCCAGTCGATGTCACTGGCGAATCGGGAATGAAGCCACGGTGATTCAGCGCTTGGTGGACGATTGACTTAGATGGTTCCAGATGTTTCGCAGTTGATCAGCAGCGGCAGTATCTGCAAGACGATTCATGCAGTTTTGAGTGACATGACTCTGGGAAAGCTGCCGCCCCCACTGGAGACTGCTGATCTTGTGTCGGGCCTTATAGGGTTCCCTGGTGACGTGATCGTCGTCTTCTGATGATGATTCCATTCGATGTCACTGGCGAACCGGGAATGAAGCCACGGTGATTCAGCGCTTGGTGGATGATCGACGTAGACGGTTCCAGATGTTTCGCAGTTGATCAGCACCGGCAGTATCTGTAATACGATCCATGCAGTTTTGAGTGACATGACTCTGGGAAAGCTGCCGCCCCCACTGGAGACTGCTGGTCTTGTGTCGGTCTTTATAGGGTTCCCTGGTGACGTCATCGTCGTCTTCTGATGATGATTCCAGTCGATGTCACTGGCGAATCGGGAATGAAGCCACGGTGATTCAGCGCTTGGTGGACGATCTACGTAGACGGTTCCAGATGTTTCGCAGTTGATCAGCAGCGGCAGTATCTGTAAGACGATCCATGCAGTTTTGAGTGACATCAATCTGGGAAAGCTTCCGCCCCCACTGGAGAGGAGACTGCTGGTCTTGTGACGGGCTTGATAGGGTTCCCTGGTGACGTCATCGTCGTCTTCTGATGATGATTCTAGTCGATGTCACTGGCGAATCGGGAATGAAGCCACGGTGATTCAGCGCTTGGTGGACGATCGACGTAGACGGTTCCAGATGTTTCGCAGTTGATCAGCAGCGGCAGTATCTGTAAGACGATCCATGCAGTTTTGAGTGACATCACTCTGGGAAAGCTTCCGCCCCCACTGGAGAGGAGACTGCTGGTCTTGTGTCGGTCTTTATAGGGTTCCCTGGTGACGTCATCGTCGTCTTCTGATGATGATCCCAGTCGATGTCACTGGCGAATCGGGAATGAAGCCACGGTGATTCAACGCTTGGTGGACGATCGACGTAGACGGTTCCAGATGTTTCGCAGTTGATCAGCAGCGGCAGTATCTGAAAGACGATCCTTGCAGTTTTGAGTGACATGATTGTGGGAAAGCTGCCGCCCCCACCGGAGACTGCTGGTCTTATGTCGAGCTTTATAGGGTTCCCTGGTGACGTCATCGTCGTATTCTGATGATGATTCCATTCGATGTCACTGGCAAATCGGGAATGAAGCCACGGTGATTCAAGGCTTGGTGGACGATCGACGTAGACGGTTCCAGATGTTTCGCAGTCGATCAGCAGCGGCAGTGTCTGTAAGACGATCCATGCAGTTTTGAGTGACATGACTCTGGGAAAGCTGCCGCCCCTACTGGAGACTGCTGGTCTTGTGTCGGGCTTTATCGGGTTCCCTGGTGACGTCATCGTCGCCTTCTGATGATGATTCCAGTCGGTGTCGCTGCCGAATCGATAATAAAGCCACGGTGATTCAGCGCTTGGTGGGCGATCGACGTAGACGGTTCCAGATGTTTCGCAGTTGATCAGCAGCGGCAGTATCTGCAAGACGATCCATCTAGTTTTGAGTCACATGACTCTGGGAAAGCTGCCGCCCCCACTGGAGACTGCTGGTCTTGTGAAGATCTTTATAGGGTTCCCTGGTGACGTCATCGTCGTCTTCTGATGATAATGCCAGTCGATGTCACTGGCGAATCGGGAATGAAGCCACGGTGATTCAGCGCTTGATGGACGATCGACGTAGACGGTTCCAGATGTTTCGCAGTTGATCAGCAGCGGCAGTATCTGTAAGGCGATCCATGCAGTTTTGAGTGACATGACTCAGGGAAAGCTGCCGCCCCCACTGGAGACTGCTGGTCTTGTGCCGGGTTTATAGAATTCCCTGGTGACGTCACCGTCGTCTTCTGATGATGATTCCAGTCTATGTCACTGGCGAATCGGGAATGAAGCCACGGTGATTCAGCGCTTGGTGGACGATCGACGTGGACGGTTCCAGATGTTTCGCAGTTGATCAGTAGCGGCAGTATCTGTAATACGATCCATGCAGTTTTGAGTGACATGACTCTGGGAAAGCTGCCGCCCCCACTGGAGACTGCTGGTCTTGTGTCGGTCTTTATAGGGTTCCCTGCTGACGTCATCGTCGTCTTCTGATGATGATTCTAGTCGATGTCACTGGCGAATCGGGAATGAAGCCACGGTGATTCAGCGCTTGGTGGACGATCCACGCAGACGGTTCCAGATGTTTCGTAGTTGATCAGCAGCGGCAGTATCTATAAGACGATCCATGCAGATTTGAGTGACATCACTCTGGGAAAGCTTCCGCTCCACTGGAGAGGAGACTGCTGGTCTTGTGACGGGCTTTATAGGGTTGCCTGGTGACATAACCGTTGTCTTCTGATGATGATTCCAGTCGATGTCACTGGCGAATCGGGAATGAAGCCACGGTAATTCAGCGCTTTGTGGACAATCGACGTAGACGGTTCCAGATGTTTCACAGTTGATCAGTAGCGGCAGTATCTGTAATACTA